AATTCTCATCCTCGTGATCGTTCGTTATGGTCACCAAGTGCCCGCCTTCGTGGCCTCGGCATATTTCTTCAGCCTCGTACCATGTTCGTCTGTCATCGCTGGCCAGTACTATCTTGTAAGAGTATTCACCGTTTTCGAAAACTGCGATAAAAGAGTTACCAGTGCCTTAGTTTGTTGAAAGGGTTCTTCAACAAAAGAAGTAAATAAATGAATAACTGTTTTAGTTCAAGATGAGAGTAAATTTAGTTAGCTTGGTTATTCGATTTCCGTGGATAAAAAGCAAGAAAGAAATTTTAAGAACCGTGGAGGAGATTTTCGGTCAGTCTGCTACAATCGGCCCGACGCATCTTTCTTTGTAACTGTCACATTCCGGCTTCCCAGAAAACAAGCTGGAAAACGTTATGATGTTTACTTTTGTGGAAGAGATATTCTTAACCTGACTTAACTAACTATGCAACATCTGGATGCACAAAGAGACTGTTGATCAGTTAGACAAGTAAATTGGATGGTTATGGCTGTCTGGATTGCTTTATGAGAAAAAATTCAGCCGGTTGAAGAGGTTTAATTTGTTAATGCCCGAGGGCGAAGTCTACACAAGCTTTGAATTTCATAGCTACCTTTATTACGTAATGGGAGAATAACTTTTCGTTTTCATACCGAGTAGATATAAACACTCTTTTTATCGTCAATCAGTACGCTCGGACCGAAGGGGTCAAAACCTTGAACACTGTCATTTAAAAGTAGGATTAAGTTCGGAGTCTTCTCACGATCATTCCTCCCTAGACTTAAGGCATTGTTTTACAATACATCATCATCTAGAACCGGTTGTGCGTACGCTGCACGTTGTCAATGACATTCCCCGAAGGTGGTATATTTTGAATTTACAGACAAGTTATACAAATCGACCGTTTTGGAGGAGTCAAAAGGTACACACTCGTGACAAATACCTATGAAAAAACTTATACTTTTTAAAAAGAACACCATGGTCTATTACATTTCAGGATAAACTAGTTTAAGTTAAAATGTAACCCACACCTTGAAATCCGAACCGACTGAATTCAGGAAATTACAAAAGTGCTGAATGCCTCCATGTTTTTGCAAAACTGCCCACTGTTTGCCGGTAAATGAAATCAGAAAGAGTTGTCCTTCTATATTTCGCACGTTTTGGATACCAAGTACTCGCACAGTTTGAAATATTCAAAGGTCAAATAATTCAAATTTAGTTCTCGCTTGGATAAAAGCCTTCTCCGTTGTCCTTTTAAACGTGCTTTGTACAACTGAAATTCTTATTTTGTACTACGTTTTAGCAAGGCGGATAAAAAAGGCGGGTTTTCTATCTGCAGTCAGAGTTTGTTCAGTGTTGCTGCAGTAAACAATTAACTCGAAACTACTTTTGAGTTTACATTACCCTAACTTTCCCCCCTCCCCCTCCAAAAAAGATATGTTCTATGTTGTTCTTGCTTTTTAAATGATGGATTAATAAATTTGAATGAATCAATCGATACATCAACTCAAAACTACTAATTTTGAATACTTTCCTTTGGTAATCTTTTGTACGTCCGTCCAAATGAACGCTGTTTACTCCCGACAACTGCGACAATTGGGGGCTTAACGGAAATCCCCGTACAACCAAGCAAATGATGCTTTCACGTACATGTAGGGTATTCTTACAATATGTTAGGTAACGATCCGCTGAAAACTGTAGAATTCTGTTCATATTTTGTTGTCAGTAATAATTTAAGTGAGGGAGTCCATTCCTTTTAAGCCCGGTGGTATCCCCTTGGCCTTCCTCGCCATTAGCTTTTAAAATATTTCGATTTTCTTCCTTTTGTTCATCTTATGGCAAAACAATAGACTGAACTGAACTGAACCAATAAGTTTGCTCAGTAGCTCAAAACGATTAAAGTTTTAAAAGTGTACGCAGGAAATGCAGATGATGTTTTCAGTGTTGTAACTTAGTTATCCCCGAAAAAAGTAAGCAGTTATATTAGAAAAAAGTTTAGTAAACTTACGATATCCTTTAGATGGAGAAAAAACATGAAACAACAACGTAACGAGCAAAAACTTCATCATGTCGTGTTATGTCAGGGAGGTAATTCTTTTCTCAGCGAGGTTTCTTCCGTGCAAGCTATAGAAACGAACTAAACTTCTAAGATCTAACCCCAGCTTAAAAAGCTTTTTTTTTAGACGAAACTTAATCTTTCATGATATAAAGACGTATAAAACGCTACACTGATCTCAGTATAAATACTTTCAATGACAGCTGAACAGTATGGCTGCTAAACTATCTGACCTTTTCTATCAGTGTGCTATCGTGTACAAGAGCGCCGACGTATCTAATAATTTTGAAACATTTAAACCGGCCTGACCCAGGGAAAAAAAGAAAAAACGAGACAATAGCCAAATTCATGCTAGGAAAAATAACACGCAACTTACGTAAAACGCAAACTTCCCGCTGAGTCACTTTTTTATGTACTCATAAAAATGGTACAGTTGAGTCTAATTTAAGACTCCTCTTACGTCAGACGGGTCTTTTTTCCCCTCATTTATTTCCAATTTTAATTTGAGTTGCATTCATTTTCATCATTTTAGTGTCATCAGAAATATATGGGAATTGTAACCCGAGGTCATCAAATCTGAATGTTTTTAACTTTAGAATTGGAAACGACTTCTCGAAAAAGTTTACTAAAGCTTTACTCTTTGATTAGCTTAATTATAGTTAAGGCACAAAAACTCGGTTTTGCTAACTGCAACTGTGTCAGTAACGTGAATTTACGATCTTAATGCAAGGTTGTCGTTAAGGTTAATTAACTATATAAATCTTGTTTGACTTTAATGAGTAAATTAGCGAACTGGTTCACCTCCCACCAGTTGGGATTCTTAAACCTTTTTTTTTCTTTTTGAATAATCGATTCATTATCCCTGAAACGCCCCATAAGGAAAGAAGATAATAAAGTATTTAATTTTTTTTTTAATTTTCGGAAGGAAGGTTATTTATATCTCATACATGCGAGGACCTGACGATTTAACATGTTTTATTTTATCTTATACTTTATCATTTAATA